TCTCTTTCTTCCCCACAGATTCCTTGATGAAGTCCAGTCGTATTCAGGCGTAAACAAAATGAGTGTGCAAAACCTGGCTACGGTTTTTGGCCCCAACATCCTRCGCCCCAAAGTGGAAGATCCTCTGACTATCATGGAGGGTGAGCTTACTGTACATGACTTGTAAGAGAAAAGAAGGAATGCATTTAGGTTTATTAGCAGCACGTATCAGTCYATATGTAGGATGTGCAGTAAGTTCCATGTATCTGTTGTACAGACACTGAAATTTTCAACCTGAATGAGATTTTGGGTTAAATCTTGCACGTTATTGTGAGCTATACTGAAATGTGCWGCATTGCAAACAGACTTTGCATGAGATTGTTCTGCTCTGTCAACTTCACTAAACATGGACTTTCTCTCTGAAAACTTCCTGCAAACATAGCATGTTCTTAGTCAGCATGTGCAGTTGGAATGCAGTTAATATTTCACCTGTGGTTCTTGAGGATGAGGAAAAGTACAGGTTCACAYTGCAGTGACCCGTGTAGAACCCCCACGAGGCACTTGGATATTCCATGCCCTCCTGAACAACAGGAATCAATTTATCAGCTGCATGCTCGCTCTTACAACCATGTTCAGCTGTAGCATTTTGCTGAGATTGTCATATCCATATTTTTATCTTAATGTCCTCCTCTAACTTCCTTCTAAACTTTGTACCGTTAACTCTCCCTGAAGTACACAATGCCTCTTCTGCTATTAAGCGTGTTTTGTTTAATGTGTACGATTTACTCAGCTTTCTCCAAAAGTAGGGCTGTACACTGAAAATGTTACCAAAACTCAAAGAATGCAGTTCCTTTCGTTTATTTGAATGTATAGAATTATTCTTTTCCTGTTAGTATGATGCTTTTTGTCTTCCCCAGATTAAACAATTCTCTGTACATGTTGTTCATTTGCTTGTTTTTCTGAAGTCTTACTTGTTCTCTCTCTCTTTAATTCTTACGACAATGAGTGTGTTGTTGTGAACAGAAAGGCATTTCCAAATCATGTATGGAATCTGTGACTACTGTCTGAGCAACTCTCCAGCCTGCTTATCAACAGCCCTAGCATTAAATGATGGTGACTGTTGTAAGAAATGGGATGGATACTACAGCCTCTGTAGGAAAACACATGCACTTTTTTAACTAATGAGAAACGGATTTGATAAAGAGAATTGCACCCTCTTTCAAGCATTATTTTGACATAAGACAGTACTGATTTTTAATTGGGCTACGCATGCTTCGATGTGTAGGGACTTTGAACAAAGATTACACATTGATAGGTGCTCATGGCCACCCTCCTTCATTTGTCTTTCCCTTTTGGAAGATACAGAGTGCTTTTCTTGCATAATCATTCAAAATCAAACAGGCAGCTATGGGGAGCCATATCTTCATGATGGGGATGAGGAGTTGGTTTTGTTTGATTYAGCAGAGATTTTCTTCTGAATTCCATCTGTGGGGATTTTTTTTTCCTGTCAAACGCCGTCATAAAAGTGCATGACCATAATGCAATGTTTGCAATAAAGTTCTGCACACAACAGGTAACATTCTCAGAAGGRATGCAGCTAAGTGAATTTTCCTCCTGCCTCATTCTAATGTATCATTTTGCCTTAGCAAAGAAACAAACAAATGAGAACACCTAGAAAAAAAAGGTTGAGTACCTGCATTGAATTGGCTCTTGGTATTTGTATTTTAAAAGGGTGGGATATAACAGTCCAGAGTATTACAAAGTAGTTCACGTGAAATGATTTTGTGCAGTGGGAAGTTATTGATTAGAAGAGCACAGCATGCCTCTGAAAGCTTTCTAGCAGTTTAAAAATGAGGTGGTTATTATAACTACCTTGACCTTGTTCYTGAAATACTCTTAATAATCCTTAATGAGCGTCTGCTTAGCAAAATAAGAGTTGCACATCTTCATCATGCCAAGTCCACTTCTAAATGCTAGTGTGTAAATTACAGTGCAGTCAAGTGGTGTGCACACCAAGGGGTTGCTCTTTCAGAGGAAAGGTRGCTATTTATTACAGGAAGCAGCCAGCTGTGGTCCTGCATCACTTCCATGGTGTGCTGTAACCTGGTGTAACTCTCTGGCTGCATAGAGTCTCACTGTGGAGTGGTTAAAGGCATTCTCATTAAATTCATTCTGTCTCATTACTGCACTATTTTGCKTCAGAATACTGAAATGTCTGTTCCAGCAGTGCAAATCCCTTGCCTGCTCATTTGCTRTTAAACTACCAAACACAAGTTGGTGCCAAAATGAGACTTTGGTTTTAAAATGTTTGCCACATGCAGTGGAAAGACATCATGTGGAATGATGTTATCCTTTCCTGCTTATTATCTCCTCCTGTGGTCTGCATGGGATGCAGTTACTGTCACAGTAACAGCTCCTGTGCAAATGTTCCTGTTGTTTTTGGGGCCTTGCTGGCTTGGTGTGATGGAAGGAAGAGATAATGCTGATGTGGCCCTGTAGCTAAGAGACACTTCAGCCTTGTTAAACATTCAGGGTGTTACACAGATGGATGCACTGTGTCAATGTTTGTATAAGCTGAAAGTTTACCAAGTATTTGTGGAATCTGATAGCTCAAGTGTATTTATGCCTTAAGCATTACAGGCCGTCCTGACCACATGCTTGGTGTCTCCTTTCAGGTACAGTAGTAGTCCAGCAGCTCATGTCAGTGATGATCAGCAAACATGAAGAGCTCTTTCCCAAGGATGCAGACCCTCAGATGGGACCTGAGGTGTGCAACAACAACAACGAAATTCCAAAGAAAACCACTGCAGGGCAGCTGCAGAACAAAGAGAACAACAATACCAAGGAGTCGGCAGTGAGGCGCTGCTCTTGGGACAYGCCCGAATCTCCCCAAAGAGGAAGCATGGACTGTGAATCTCCRTCTGCTCTGCCAGGCAGCAAGACAAGCAGCCCCAGGAACAGCATTCAAAAACCAGATGTCACCAGGAGCCCGCCACTCATGGTGAAAAAAAATCCTGCGTTTAATAAAGGTAGCGGCATAGTCACCAACGGGTCCTTCAGCAGCTCYGTGGAGGGCCCGGAGAAGAGCCAGACCGTTCCAAACTGCTCCCTGCAGACCCGGAGAACGTCGTCCCTCAAGGGGCCAGTGACCAAGATGGGGACACACAGCATGCAGAACGGAGGGGTGCGGATGGGCGTTTCCAGCACGGATGGGCACAGCAACACCGTCGGCAGCCGGAGCCCGGGCTGGGTGCCCAATGGCTTCGTCACTCTGAGGGACAACAAGCAGAAGGAGCCCTCGGTGGGTGAGTCAGGCCAGCACAACAGGCTTTCCACCTACGACAATGTCCACCAGCAGTTCTCTATGGTGAACTCTGATGACAAACAGAGCGTGGACAGTGCTACCTGGTCAACATCCTCGTGTGAAATATCCCTCCCGGAGCACTCCAACTCCTGTCGCTCATCCACCACCACCTGCCCTGAGCAGGACTTTTATGCGGGTAACTTTGAAGACTCTGTGCTGGATGGGCCRCCACACGAAGACCTCTCTAACCCGGGTGACTATGAGAACAAAAGTGACAGGAGGAGTGTGGGGGGCCACAGCAGCCGAGCCACCAGCAGCAGTGATAACAGTGAAACGTTTGTGCCCAACAGTACCAACAATCATAGTGCTTTGCACAGCCTGGTGTCCAGCTTGAAGCAAGAGATGGCCAAGCAAAAACTAGAATATGAGACAAGGATAAAAAGGTAAGATGGTTTGGCTAYCATCTGACTGCCCTTTGCAGAGTAAATCTGAGTTTTCTCTCTTGTGACTTGCAGTCACTACTGTATCACTCACTAGGTGTTGCCATTGGGTTTCTCATCTTTTGTGTTGACATTGCTTCAGTGATACTGTGATCCAAAGGAGTTTCTCTCAGACCAGTTGTTTGCCATGGTTGTGCCACACTGTCCTGTTGGTGTCAAAATTAAAGCTTGAACTTTGTGAGGGTCAGTATAAAATTTAATTAACAAAATCAGTGGGCTCTCACAATGTTTTTATTTGTTCGTGCCTTTTCTCTAGAGAAATGCAACTGAGTGTCACCTTTCAGTGAAAGCAATGTTGTGGCATACTCCACCTGTAGTTTATGGGACTGGGGAGACTGCTGACTCCGTTCCAGTCCTTATTCCTCTTGAGAAAGTGCAGCATCTGGGAGTTACCTCTGCTTATGATCCTGTCTTGCTCTGCTGCTGAGCCTTTCCTTCATAGCTTGGACCTGTTAAAAGAGGACAAGGGAGGGATTTGTCTTTGTCTACAGATAGTGCAGACTCTGCTCATACAGAGYAAGGCTGCTGGGTGGATGGTTATAATGATCAATAAATAACCTCCGAGTCTGGGCTTAGTATTAATTAACGCGCTCAGCAGTGCAGAGCTGAATGTGCTCTCTTTGTAATAAAGGTTCTTCRGTCAAGCTGATCAGGACTTTCTGTTCTCACCTCTGCTCCACAGCAGCTCTGTGCACTGGTATCTCTGGCACTGCAAGTCATAGATCACAACATGTGAGAGCTTCTGGCAACAGCAGCTGCCACTCCGTGCAGCACATGGAGTGTTGCTTTCACCTGCATCACTATTTTCAGCATGGTGTGATTGTAGTGGAGCCCTTGATAGAGTTTAATATGAGTGGTGACTGTGTTTAGTACCACTGAGATCATAGGCTTGGATTGGAATAGTCCTTAAGGATCATCTAGTTCCAACCCCCCCTGCCATGGGCAGGGACATCTCCCACTAGGCCAGGTTCTCAGAGCCCCATCCAGCTTGGCTTTGAACACTGCCAGGGATGGGGCATCCACAGCTTCCCTRGGCAGCCTGTTCCAGTGCCTCACTACCATCACAGTAGAGAATTTCTTCCAGACATCTGACCTAAACCTGTCTGAAGCCATTCCCCCTTGTCCACAGTATTCCAGGTGAGGTCTCATTAGAGCATAGCAGAAGGGAAGAATCCCCTGCTTCCCACGCTGCTTTGGATGAAGCCCAGGATGCAGTTGACTTTCTAGGCTGTGAGCACACATTGCCAGCTCATGTTGTTTTCCATCAACCATCACTCCCAAGTCCTGTTCAGCATGGCTGCTCTCAATCTCTTCTCTGTCCAACCTGTAGGTGTGCCTGGGATTGCTGTGACACAGGTATAAGACCTTGCACTTGTTTTGTTGAACTTCATGACGCCCATATTTACAGACATATGCAGGTCCAAATGGCAGATGTTTACAGCAGGCAGATCAGCTGCAGAAGGGATATTGACAGTGAAACAAAAGCATTCAGGGCACTCTTCTGACCTTGTAGGTGACAGCAGTGCAACTAGCAGGAGCTGGATGTCAACACTTCCAGAAGTAAAGGAAATAGTTAGCCTACTCCTGGAAAATTAGATGGAGCTGTTTTCTTCTCTGCCTTTTGCTGTTCAAAGTATTTTTTTTAACAAACCACCAAAGAGATTGCCCTGCATTGGTGAAGCCATGGTTTGTAGATGTGCCCATCAGAAATTCAGTCTGAGCTTTATAGATGAAAAGATGTGTATGAATTTGCAGGTGGTGTGCATTTCTGCTTGAGTGAGTGAGGAGTGCTGCTCAGGAGCTGTCTGCTTTTATTCCCTTTATGCAGCTTGGAGCAGAGAAATCTCAGCCTGGAGACGGAAATGATGGCCCTGCATGAAGAGCTGGATCAAGAGCGGAAGAAGTTCACAATGGTGGAAATCAAAATGCGCAACGCGGAGCGGGCGAAGGAGGATGCGGAGAAGAGGAATGATATGCTGCAGAAGGAAATGGAGCAGTTTTTCTCTACTTTTGGAGAATTGACAGTGGAGTCTCGCAGACCAGAAAGAGGCAACACCATCTGGATCCAGTGAGCTTTGGAARCATAGACTGTGGGACTTGAGGAAGGGCTTGGGGGTATTATACTGTATCAGGTGGCTGGTCACCTGTTTGAGGCTAGTACTCAACAAAATGTTCTAAACCCTTGAAGGAAGAAATCATACATACATTAAGCACTCATATCTACAGTGTGTACTTACCAAGTTATACTCTTTGAATGCTTCATGAGACTACTGTCAAAGTGTTACAACTGGATATGTGTATATAAATTTAAGAACCACCTTAGAGCAAGAGATGTATCTGAAGAAATATTTTAATGCAAGTCTTGTATTTAAACTGGTAAATTGAAATGTTGTTGCAATCAAGCTTTATATAAAGGCTTTTCTCCCTTGCACTTAACATAATAAGCTATTTTTGGCATTGTGTTACCATCAGCTTRTTTTGTATATCAAATGTTTTTTTTCTGTTTTTGTTTTGTTACCCCTTYTGCTGGGGAGTGAAGATAAACAGATATGTTACGGTAAATGTGTGAATGGTTCGCCCTGATTTGCGTCGCTTCTAAACAGACAGCAGGACGAGAAACTGAATTGTGCAATGGGCAAAAAAAGCAGTAGTGATTTTACAGAGCTGATGGCCAGGGGAGAAAGTTCCAGGACACCCCATTGTAAAACAAGAAGTGAGGACATGGAGTCAGGCTAGACCGGGGACAGTGACAGAAGGGTAAACAGCTGCTTGTTTGGAAACAAACGTGGGTAACCGAGTAAAAATTTGAGAGAGGGGGACAAGGGGACTTAAGGAGAAGTTAATCACATGACCAGAGCTTTTTGGTGTATCCTGAAGCAGCCCTGTGACTGATCACTGCAGTTCAGAGCAGGGATMTAAACCAGTTATTCAGACCCTATTTGCATCTGACTTACCTCTGCACTCTGGGTGAAAATGAGCCCTTTTTGTAATGCTGGGGAAGGGACGACACACAGAGAGGTTTAACTGGACGTTCTGGTAGCCTTATTGAAAAAATAGACAGTAGAAATTAATGGAGCAATTGGAGAAATTGTCCACAGTAGAAATTAATGGAGCAATTGGAGAAATTACTGTTTGTAATTTACAGTAAATAAAGAAGAAACAGTAAATAAGGAAGAAAACACCAACATATTCACCACTTGTATTGACAGTGTATATTAGCAAGTTATCACACTGTCTGAATGATTCAAGAGATTACTGTCAAAGTGTTCCAGCTGTGAAAGTTGCAGGCACTCAGTATCACCGAGGGAACACCCACAGGAAACAGCCTGGAGCATCACACCATGCAGAATGCCAGTGGAAAAGAAACAGCAGAGCCATCCTGTAAATTAATAATTGGTTTGGCATCTTGAAATACAGTAAGTATAATCAGTATTYTCCACACCATGTTAAGGATGTTTGGTTTTGAGTTTAGGACTGCATTATTGTTACARAGGGTTGTTGAGATATCTTGGCTTCCCTCTAGTGTCTCTTAAATATATTGCAATTTTTTTTTAAACTACAGTTGAGAAAAGGATGATGAATGCAGCTTACAAGAACTTTCTTGGTTATAGATGCCTATTAGACAACTATTATTGGATGTGGGAATTATGYTGGGAAGCAAATGTTTCAGAGAAATACAGAGCATTACACACAGTGCTTGTGGATGCACCATTTGTGTCAGTGAGGTTTAGAGCCCCCAGTCRGAGCAGCTGTTGTACTGATTACTGTGAGCGTGTCTAGTGCACCTCCARTCTGTGTCTAAATCAGAAAAAGACAGGGAGAGATCAAGGTATTAGGTGCATATGTTGCATCAGCACCAATGACAACATGTACTCACAATGGTGAGAGAAGGAAACATTGCTATGTTAATTCTGATTTTTTAAATTGAATTAGAGATCCCAATGCATTAGGCTTCAAAGGTGGCTCACAATTTAAGCAGTATTGGACATCTACTGACATGACATCAAATATCTAAGTATTTTCTTAACTGGAATTCATTTTTTATACTACACTAYGTATTAGTGAATGCTTCTGTCAGACCTTGTTTTAGGCAGGATTTGTCTGTCTGTTTGAATCTTGACTTTACCTAGATTTGAAGCTTACCTTCATGTTTCAAAAGGTATTTCATTCAGTTACTCAGAGAAGTTCAAATTCTAGTTACACGGCTAAGCACTGACACCCAAATGTCTTGCTTTGCAGTCCAGAACAAGACTTACCTAACTGTGTCTGCAGAAATCATTTAGACAGATAGGAAACTTGAGCAGACACAGCAAACTTAGAAAGCATCACTGACAACAGATGTCCATTCCTGACATGATCCATCCAGAGTACCCCATTCCTCCTGTGAGATTGCAGCAGCATTTAAAGGCTGTGGCAATAAAGTTTCTTTCTGTCCTTTAAATGGTCATCTTCATGCTCCTGTTACTCTCCTAGTTCTTCAAATGCACGAAGTCCTTGATGTTTCTAACATTCAGAAGCTAACATTTGCAACTTCTCAGCTGTTCCCATGTGGTCCACAACTGGTGTGCTGCATTGTTCCCTGCAGCATGTCTAGCCTGTGTATGAAGTGACCTGCTGGGGAGGGCATGCTGATAGAGCTGAGTGGCCAAAGGATAAAATTGTGCTCCCTCTCATTCAGTGCAGTGGAAGGGAGCAAGATTTATTCACTAAATTAAGGTTCATGTGGACTGAGCCTGAAGGCTGTGAAGAAAAAAAAACAACAAAAAACCTAAGGATTTCATGCAGTGCATTTGCAGATGAATTTACCTCATAAAGGCAGTTTTTAGGATTCTGACTGCTACGGCATTGAATATAACTGAGACAACTGGTTTTATCACCAGTTTGTGTAAGGAAGCAAGTCATTACCGGCCAAGCTAACAAGTTAACTTGCTACAAGAGAATGCTAAGTTTTCAAGTGTCAGTTGAAATGTGCTTTTATCTCTTTCTCACAGGTCTGTGAGCTCCCCAGATTCATAATCTGTTCAGTGGCCAGCTCAGTTCAGTGTTCAGTATCAGTTCAGTGGCCAGCTCCAAGCTGAGAATGGCAGAACAGCTCAGCTCTTCCAGCACATTGTCCATCTGCCTCGTGTACAACGCACAAGAGGCAAAGCTTTTACAAGTAATCAGTACAGATGGTGGGGAGAAAAATCTCTTGAGCTGATGACCTTCTGGTGCTGAACCCTGAATCACAGGGTTCACATTACATCCATAAAGCATGGTTCCAGGACAGCACACACAGCAAGCTAGAGTGAGAGACAGAGTAAGAGAGGGATGCACACTCCCATTGTTAATCCTGTCTCCGACCACATTATTGGAGCACTGGGATGGGTTGTTCATAYCCTACGTGCCTTAGCACAGTAAACTGGAAAAGTGGCAGACACACCCCATGACTTTGAATGTTGGTGTTTTGCTTTGAGAAGCTTTTGTCTCCCCTTCTGTTTTGCGAGAGTCCTGCTGCACATTTGGCGTATGSTGTGGCRCAGCAAAATAAGTAAAAGCTACTAYACATCTTTTCCACRTGTTGTTATTTCAGCATGTCAAACTTYGTTTCCCAAATACAAAGATTAATAAATGCCATGTTGATATGCAAAACTGGTATGTTAGGTTTTCATAAGAACAAAGATGAAAGGAGCTTGCTGATATTATTGCTCTTAGGATCTGCAAGCAGTACTTGATCTAGTACTTAAAATTCTGGTCTAGAAATTTTGGAGAAAGATTTCCTAAAAATTAATATTTAACAAATATTTCTTGTGTAGCATCCCTAGTGGGATGGAACAAAGGCAGAGTAAGGAGAGAATGAATAAACAGGTACAGTGATTTGCACATTTTGACAGCCCAGTCAAAACAGTGAGTTGCCTCCAGCTGCTGTACATGAACACTTCCTGGATGAGTGAAACTCCTAATTAATTTCCTTTCTTACTCTGAATTCCCTCTGGAGTCYGTCCATTGAAGAGGAGAGCGTCTGCAGACTCTCTGCCCCTGGCAAATCTGCAGGGAAGTGGAGGAGATGGAAAGGGGAGATGGACGGATAGAAATTACCACGTACTTGTGATGTGGGCATGCAAAAATAGAGAAAACAGATGGGACAGATGAGGAAAACAAGGAAGTTAATACACCTGAAATTGCCTTGTGTAGGTGGTAGTAATTTGCCCTCAGTTAAGAGCATTCTTTCTGAAAGCTTCTCTCTACAAATGGGATACTGCAGGTAATGTTGTGTTATTCTTTCAGAGCTTCTTTGGCTCTAAATTGCTTTGTGGGCTGACACTGGGAGCTGGGTCAGCTGTTTCACAGCTATCTGCCTTGCTTTTGTCGGTCCCRTGTGCCAGCAGCGAGAGTTTCCCTGTGGGGAAACACCCAGCAAAGCCATTGCTGTGGGAGCTGATGGAAAGGAGGGAGCCCGGAAGGTCGGGCAGTTCCTGTGGGTTGCCACCACTCGCTCTGGGAACATCTAATGGCCTCAGACTGCCACTGAGCATCTCTGGAGCAGTGCTTCTSAGGAAATAGAAGCCCATGAGGCAGATGTCCTGCTGATGCAAATTGCTGTAGCTCTGCAGAGGTTTAGGAAGYGCTGGGAGAAGCTGGGAGCTTTCCCTGCCAGGCTTTTAGAAGCTGTCATAATGTGTGTAATTACAATTCGCGTTGGTGATCTAGTTTTATTGGAAAAAGGCTTGTCAGCAATAAAACAGGTTTCTTTAGTATGCCAGTAGTAATGGGAGTGCAAAATTTTTTTTTGAGGCTAGAAACATGATCATGATGCAAATACATTCCTTGCTTTTTCCCAGAGGGATCCAGGATAATGAGCTTTATATGCAAGACAATTCCACTTCTGATTCTTCTAAATACAAGAATGGAAAATCCCTTCTACCTCTGTGTATTACTCTCTTCATGTGTAAGAGGTTTAAATTTATAAATGTTCAGTAGGACTTTGTGTTTAAAATACTATTATGAACATGGCTGTAATTTGTTAAGTGTATGGTATTTAGGAGGTGACTTGGCTTGGGACCAAAAGAGGTGGTTTTGAGCACCAGTATTTTCTCTTGTTCATGTGACAAAGGTGCAGTCTTGATTTTTCAGCCTTAACATGTACTAAAATGTAGTGTACAGTTCAGCTGAAATAATAGGGATTGGTGTATGTAGCACTGTTTGTAAATCTGCTTCCTAAACCGTAACAAAAAAAATTTCTCCAAATGTTCAGGACTGCCAAGCTATGGCAGTAACTGGTATTTTTAATTGCATGTTCTTTGTATGAATGACAGAACCTGGATTTTGGCAGAGCAGGATGACRAATGTAGTGCTATTCCCACTTTTAACCTAGACTGAGCACTCTGGTAAGGTTTTGCTTAGTTTCCTCTGGCAGATTTGTGCCTTGTGTAACAGTGAGACCTCTCTCAGGGAAAAAGTTGTCTGTGAAAAAGTTACAAATTTTCACCTCCCTCATTCCATAGTAGTTCCCATGAGCAGACATGCCTTAATAGTAATAGTGYATGTGGCTAATGGATATATTTGTATAGTTTAATGGTATTAATAGCRAGTCTACCACCACTGACTTAATTTATATTCTTCTGTCTGACTGGAGGGACCTACATCAAAGGAGGCTGAAATGGAAAGCAAGCAGGGTATGAACCATGGCAGAAATGAAGCATCTCTGGAGGCAATTCCAAAGGCCATTAAGAGAACAGTTCATGAACTATTAATGTACTTCTGTGCTGCCGGCTACGCCTGTCTTTCCCAAGGCCCAAAAGCACACTAAGCTATTAAAAACCTTGTCTAACAAGGAAAGAGGTGGAGAGCTGCTACTGTCTACTCAAGGGGATGTGCTGAGTCAGGATGGACAGCTCTGGGTGCACTGGAGCCAGCAGGGACTGGCTAAATTTGCAGTAGTTTGCAGGTCCAGGCACACATCCCAGTTTAGGTTCTCAGTCCCCAGTCCAGCCAATATCCCGCGTGGCAAAGCAGGCTGCACTGGCTTGGGCACACAGCAGTGTACAAGT